TTCATTTTGGCCATGGTACTAAAGGAAATGGAACCTAAAATGGCACCTTATATCTCGGCAACGTAAAGGTATTCATATTACAAATCTACTAGAAACTGCTCGTTTTTTATCTGAAGCCTGCGATTTGGTTTTTGATGCAGCAAGTAGAGGAAACAATTCTTGATTGTTGGTACCAAAATAAGGCAGCTGATTCAGTAGCACGGGCTGCAATAAGGGCCCGTGTCATTGTGTTAATAAAAATGGCTCGGCGGGATGTTAACAAATTGGTCGACTACAGAAACGAGACTTCATAATTCAGGGACTTAAGAATGGAACAAAAAATGGGAAGACTCAACTATTTGCCGAAAAGAGATGCGGCTGTGGTGAAAAGACAATTATCTCGCTTGCAAACATATCTGGGCGGGATTAAATATATGGCGGGGTTACCCGATATTGTAATTATCGTTGATCAGCATGAAGAATATACGGCCCTGCGAGAGTGCCTCACTTTGGGAATTCCAACAATTTGTTTAATCGATACAAATTGTGATCCCGATCTTGCAGATATTTCGATTCCCGCGAATGATGACGCTATATCTTCAATCCGCTTAATTCTTAACAAATTAGTATTCGCAATTTGTGAGGGCCGTTCTAGCTATATAAGAAATCCTTAATTAATAATAAGATAAATAACTTTTACTTCGAAAATCGGATAGAATCGGTTATTTTTTATTTATTTTGAAAAATGTATCAAAATAACTGGAGATATTATGTGATTAGTTAGTATTGAAAATATTAGTTGATACTCAAAAGATCCGATTCAAGTAGACAAAGAGATGGTTGAATCAAAATAATTTTGTTTAAAGTTCCATTTTTTTCCAGAGGACAATATGAATGTGCTATCATGTTCCATCAATACACTATACGATATATCCGGTGTGGAAGTAGGCCAACATTTTTATTGGCAAATAGGGGGTTTCCAAGTCCATGGACAAGTACTTATTACTTCTTGGGTTGTAATTGCTATCTTATTAGGTTCAGCTACTATAGCTGTTCGGAACCCACAAATCATTCCGACTGGGAGTCAGAATTTTTTCGAATATGTTCTTGAATTCATTCGAGATGTGAGTAAAACTCAAATTGGAGAAGAATACGGCGCTTGGGTTCCTTTTATTGGAACTCTCTTTCTATTTATTTTTGTTTCCAATTGGTCAGGAGCTCTTTTACCTTGGAAAATCATAGACTTACCTCATGGAGAGTTAGCCGCACCCACGAATGATATAAATACTACTGTTGCTTTGGCTTTACTCACGTCAGTGGCGTATTTCTATGCGGGTCTTACCAAAAAGGGATTAAGTTATTTCGGGAAATATATTCAACCAACCCCAATCCTTTTACCCATTAACATTCTAGAAGATTTCACAAAGCCCTTGTCACTTAGTTTTCGACTTTTCGGGAATATCTTAGCGGATGAATTAGTAGTTGTTGTTCTTGTTTCTTTAGTACCTTCAGTGGTTCCTATCCCTGTTATGTTCCTTGGATTATTTACAAGTGGTATTCAAGCTCTTATTTTTGCAACTTTAGCTGCGGCTTATATAGGTGAATCCATGGAGGGTCACCATTGAAATAGTCTTTTTTCCCTTAGCGCAAAGCAGTAGTTCACGATGATTTCCTTAAGGAATATAAATATAGAAGACTTTCTATATGATAGAAAAAAATGGGAACAAAAAAATAAAAGATTACGATATTAGAGAGTTGTAAAAACAAAAAAGGAAAGAGATCCAAAAGATCTTTTTCCTAAACCTAATTTTTCTTTCGTCCGCTTAATATCCTACCTTTCCGTAACGAAGATTTACTTTTATATTAGTCAGTCAATCTTCTTATTCAAATCAGAATTTGAATAAGATATGATATAGATATAACGTTTGATTAAATAAAAAAGAGGGGAAAGGAGAAAAGAATTTCTAAAAATCGGATTTCTAAAAAAATGGATTGATTCTCGAATCCGATTGAATCCAATGGTTTACGTTATGGAAGAAAGACATGTATATGTGATATTAGATATTGGCTGGTTCTCTATGAACTAAAGATATATTTTAGTTGCCCTACTGTTGTGTGCGAGTTTCAATAGAAGTCTTTCCGTATTCTTATGGCTGTGAATTGGATGAATAAAGAGATGAAATCAAGAAAAGATGTAAGACTGGAAATAACAGTTCGGAACCAAGAAATGGAAGAACGAAAGTTCTATGGATTCAAAAAATTCTGTGTATAGAAACAGATATCGGAGTCCTGAATATATGATATTCTTACTTAAACTCGAAGTTCTTAGTTCCTTTGACAGGATGAATCCTATTGATGGAATAATTAAGTCATAATTCATTGGTTGAGTGTATCATTAACCATTTATTTTTGTTGGTATGAGGAACTTATCATGAATCCACTGATTTCTGCTGCTTCCGTTATTGCTGCTGGATTGGCCGTAGGGCTTGCTTCTATTGGACCTGGAGTTGGTCAAGGGACT